AGCTTCTAAAGAAATTTGAGATGCAGAATTGCAAAGAGGCATTAACACCAATGTCCACCAATTGCTATCTTGATGCTGATGAAAAGGGAAAACCAGTAGATCAAACGAAATATAGAGGGCTTATTGGTTCTTTATTATATCTCACAACAAGTAGACCTGACATTATATTTAGTGTTTGTATATGTGCCAAGTTTCAATCTGCACCTAAAGAATCTCATCTTACTGTTGCAAAAAGGATCCTCAAATATCTCAAAGGAACTTTAAATGTTGAGTTGTGGTATCCTGGTGAGTCCAAACTAAATCTAATTGGATACTCTGACTCAAATTTTACAGCGTGTAAGCTTGCCAGAAAAAGCACCAGTGGCACTTGTCATCTCCTAGGAAGCAGTCTAATCTCATGGCATAGTAAAAAGCAATCATGTGTTGCTCTTTCTACAATTGAAGCAGAGTACATTGCAGCAGGAAGTTGTTGTGCTCAATCCCTGTGGTTCAAACAACAGCTTGAGGATTATGGTTTAATTCTCAATAAAATTCCTCTTTTATGTGATAATAATAGTGCCATTATATTAACAAAAAATCCAATTCAGCATTCTAGGACAAAACATATAGAAATTAGGCATCATTTCATTAGAGATCATGTTGTAAAAGGTGATTGTGAAATTTTCTTTATAAAAACTGAAAAACAACTAACTGATATATTCACAAAACCTCTTGCTCGTGATCAATTTTACAAAATCTGAACTGAATTAGGCATTTTAGATGCATCAAACATCACTTAGTTTCCAAATCTGGTTGTTTTAATTAATATAAACGAGCTTTAATCGATTAAATGAACTTTACAAAACTTTTTCATACAATTTTAATCGATTAAATGTCGATTTAATTGATTAAATGAACTCAAGTTTTTAAATTTCAACTTTCATTACTGTTTTAATCGATTAAAACATTATTTGTATCAATTAAAATCAGTAACAAGAACAATTTAATCGATTATGCCTTGTTTTTAATTGATTATTATTTTGGAAAGAAAATTAAAGGCTTTAGTTAATGACTGTTTGTGTAACATGCTACTAAAGCATGGTTCCCTTATCTTTACACGTGTCTATTGTATTCATTGCAAACATGTTAATGAAGATAAGTTTGAATGAACTTTAATTGGTCTTTAAATGAGTAATACATCTCGATGGTATCATGATTTCTTATAATACTGGTTTCAAAATAAATTTTGTTACATGCCATGCATATTGTTTGTTTTCCTCCTCTCTTCCCTATTTTTGATGAAGTCAAAGGGGGAGAAATGATTGATTTTGATATACTCACTATTTTAGGGGGAGAAATCTACATTTTGATATACTCACTATTTTAGGGGGAGAAATGATTAATTTTGAATACTCACTAATCTATATATTCAAGTAACTTCTTCTGCAGAATCGTTCAAAGAGATATTATTCAAAGAGGTGTTTGTCTTCATCAAATAGGGGGAGACTGAAAGTGATGAAGATCTTATTGAATCATTTGATATAACGAAGATCTTATTGATTTGATGAAGTCAAATGAAGTCAAAGGTTATTATGGTGAAGTCAAAGGTTACTTGGTTAAAAGGGTAGAGTGATTAGTGAGTCTGCATCTATACATATGTATAATCATTCATATCTCTCTACTGCATGTGATTTCATCATTTAAAAGATTTTGAAAATGCCTCTAAACGTGTTTAATCTGTTAAAAACCAAAGTAATCGGTTAAATGGTTTTTAAGTAATTGTTTTAACTGATATTATATGAGCTTTATCAGTTAAAATGTTCTTGACACTTTCATAACAGGTTTTTAACTGATAGGTTTTCGAAATAATCGATTAAAACCTTTTAAAACATTCACTGGAACTGTTTTAATCGATATATCTTCAAAATAATTGATTGTTTTCATTAAAGCAGTTTTTGAAAACCTTCTGCCAGTATTTTAACTGATATAGATTTGAAATAATCGATTAAAATGACTTAAAATGTTTTGGAATGTGTTCTGGCAGTATTTTAATCGATACAAACTCGAAATAATCGATTAAAATAACTTGAAGTGTTTTGAAAGATGTTCTGTCAGTATTTTAATCGATGTAAATGTGAATTAATCGATTAAAACCACTTGAAAGGTTTTGAAAGAAGTTTTGCCAGAATTTTAATCGATGTGTTATAAGTTAAAATGACTTAGAAAGTTTTATGAAACTATTTGGTAGGACTTTAATCGATTAAAATGCGAATTAATTGATTAAAACAACTAAGAGATTTTTTCCAAAGTGTTGTAATCGATTAAAACAAACTGTTATCAATTAAAATCACTTAGAAAGTTTTATGAAAACATTTGGCAGTATTTTAATCGATTAAAAGACGAATTAATCGATTAAAACAATTTAAGGAATTTTTTACAAAGTGTTTTAATCGATTGAAACGATGTCGCATCAGTTAAAACAAATATGAAAAATGATTAAGAACATTTTAACAGATTAAAATAAGTTTTAACAGATTAATTAAAGACTTTTAACAGATTAAAAGATTGTTTTAACAAATTAATTAAACTAGCAGTTAGAACCATTCTCTATATAAACATAATTGCTTGAGTCTTTTAAAATATACTTTTGATCAATTAATCAAGCAATCATAAGAGTTACTTTTAAGAAAGAATCACACAAGTTTTGTGAAGTTTTTCAAAGTTATTTCTTGAGGCAATTTCTGCATTTCTTTTGGGAAGAAACTCATTCTACGAGCTGCATAATCCGGGTTTGAGTGTTCTAGTTTCTTCTCTTTATTTCTTTTACATTTCATTACTGTATTGTGAGTTTTTGGAAGTGTGGGCACTGGTTTTGTGGCTGGAATTTGGCTGCAGGGTGGTTCAAGAACTGGAAGTTGGTTCTTGGTGAAGGTTTTGGCGAAAGGACTGGAATTTTGGTTCTTGTGGTAGATTGGGTGTGTGATTGGAATTTGTACCCTGTAAAACATTCAATCTAGTGAAACTCAGCTAGAATTTGGCTGAGAACTGGACGTAGCCCTGGGATTGGGTGAACCAGTATAAATCTTGGTTGTATCTCTCTAAACCTTTCTCTCTTTAATTCTGATGTTGTCTTTATTTTGATTGTTTGTTTTGTTTGATTCAAGAATTGGTCAGAACACTTAATCTTTGAAATAGATAATCTATAAATTGCGAAAATCTTTCAAAGATCAATTCACCCCCCTCTTGATCTCAGCCTCCTTTTCTAACAGGTTCATACTCATCAACCAAGGGGTCAGCTACCACATCAAAGGAGCATCCCAAGGTTACAACAAACCGGACGGGAGTTCGTACTCGTCAAACTAGATGGGGTGCATACTCATCAAGCCTTATAGAAGGGGGCTTAAACCGGACGGGGGTTCGTACTCGTCAAACCAGATGGGGGTGCATACTCATCAAGTCTTACAAAAGGAGGCTTAAATCGGACGGGGGTTCGTACTCATCAAACCAGATGGGGCTTCATACTCATCAACCGAAGGGGTCAGCAACCGCATCAAAGGAGCATCCCGGAGGCATACACACATTTATCGTCTAGAAGTTCGGCTACCATAACTAGGAAAGCAATCGAAGGACAACTGGGCAAGAGAGTTAACTCCTTCACCCTCCAGCAGATCTTTTTGGCATGATGAGCCAACAGTCGGCTAGTCGGGTGAAGGGGGGGCAGCTATAGACCCTAAATCTTGCCCAGCCTCAAAATAAAGAGCAGAAGACTTCCGTTTGAAGATAGACAAGGCCTAAAAGGTCCCTAGGATTGATCAATAGGCGCTATATTAGAATAGGAAGGATTTTTGTACACAAAAAATAAGAAATTCCGCGTAAAGGGTCAAGACCGCCGTCTCGTTTGGCGAGACCATCGTCTCACCGTTGGCTAAGGGTGAGACCGCTATCTCATTTGGCGAGATGACGGTCCCGACCTTGTCAGGCGAGACGACGGTCCCGACCTGATAGGTGCAAATTCCTATAAAAGGGGGGGGGGGGACTTTCTCACTCTTTACACACCATTCTACCACTTTCCCTTCTGTAATATCTTCAAATTACTCTCCTAGGAGCCCTCTGAAGCATTTCCAGAGTTTCTTAGAGTTCTTAGAAAGTGTTCTGTAGTGTTGTGAGAAAGAGCGATCATCATTGTAGAGCGTGAGGATTGCCAAAAAGCACCATCTTTCAAGAATATACTATAAAAGCTTGCTTCGAAGGTTCCTATTTACTCCCTTCTCTATTTTATTGCTTTTTAGATAATATAGTTGTGCATTAGTCATTTAGGGTCATGTAGTCAATAATTTAATTTCTACAATGAATAAATAAGGGTAAAAGCACAATTTTAGAGTCATTATTTCTTTATAAAAACGGTCCATCATAGGGAACCCGAAAGGGGCGTCGTAGGGAAGCTAATGCCTTCCCTACACGAAACTAACTTCCTTACCTAACTCTGGTTGTAATGACCAAAGTTGGTTTTCTTTAAAAAACCACTGCCTTCTTGTTCCTTTTCCAATGTTTCTGGTAAAAACATTGGTGGCGACTCCTTGAACCTTTCGAAAACCTCGCTTTTATGTCCAACCCGATTATCAGACAACCTAAAAAGCGTTGAACCACACTTTTAAAAATGCGAGTCAAACGAAATCATCACGTCGCTCCGACTTCCTCTTTTGACGGCGGCAACAAGAGGTTCATGACATTTTTGTTGGATTGAGTGGTTTTGCATGGACTAAATCCACAAGATTTTTTAGGTTGAACCCAAATTTTGAGATGACCTCACATAGATGTTCGTTCGTTATACCTTGGTTAATTATAATAAATAATCAAACATTTTCAATCTCTTATCTATTTCGTGTGTTTTTGAATTGTAGGCAAAACCCGCTACTACTAAGTGGAGAACCACCCTTATTATGGGGCATTGACTGTGCCACTGGCCACGGGGTGAGAACGACATGTCAAATTTGCCAACGCATAGAACGATAATCATTCACGGTGGATTTGAGTGATGATATGGAGTATATCTCGGAGGAGCCTGCATTTCATGGGTTAGTAGAAGATGTTCCTTGCTCCCCCCATTCGTGGATTCACATAGTCCAACACCAACACCATCTATCTCATTCGGTGGTACATCTTCTTCATAGGGATAAAAAAGGAAGGCCTCGATGATAGTTGTGGTGGAGACCCAATTTAAAAATTCAAATACCAAGTTGGACGTTGTCATTGAAGCAATTGGCAGAGGCAACAACATTTTTGACATATTGGCCACGTATGCGCAAAGACAAGTGATGGCTGCTAAAAATGAAAGTGATGAAGATCTTATTGAATCATTTAAACGAAGATCTTGTTGATTTGATGAAGTCAAAATGAAGCCAAAGGCTATTCTGTTGCAGTCAAAGGTTACTTGGATAAAATGGTAGAGTGATTAGTGACTCTGCATCTATACTTAGGTATAATCTTTCCTATCTCTCTGTTGAATGAAGTTTCTTCATTTAAAAGATTTTTCAAATGCCTCTAAAACGTGATTAAACTGTTAATAACAAAGTAATTTGTTAAATGACTTTTAAGTAAACTGTTTTAACTGATATTATATGAGATTTATCAGTTAAAATGTTCTTAACACTTTCGTAATAAGTTTTTAACTGATAGGTTTTTGAAATAATCGATTAAAACCTTTTAAAACATACACTAGAACTGTTTTAATTGATATGTCTTCAAAATAATCGATTGTTTTCATTAAAAGAGTTTTTGAAAACCTTCTGCCAGTATTTTAACTGATGTAGAATCGAAATAATTGATTAAAATGACTTAAGATGTTTTGAAAAGTGTTCTGGCAGAATTTTAATCGATACAAACTTGAAATAATCGATTAAAATAACTTGAAGTATTTTGAAAGATGTTCTATCAGTATTGTAATCAATATAAATGCGAATTAATCGATTAAAACAACTAAGATGTTTTCCAGAATGTTTTAATCGATTAAAACAAGTCTCGTTATCAGTTAAAATAACTTAGGAAGTTTAAGGAAACTTTTTGGCAGAATTTTAATAAATTAAAATACGAAATAATCGATTAAAATAACTAAGAGATTTTTTCCAAAGTGTTTTAATCGATTAAAACAGATTGTTATCAGTTAAAATCAATTAGAAAGTTTTATGGAAACATTTGGCAGTATTTTAATCGATTAAAAGGTGAAATAATCGATTAAAACAATTTGAAGGATTTTTTACAAAATGTTTTAATTGATATAAACGTTGTTGTATCGGTTAAAACAAATCTGGAAAATGATCAAGAACATTTTAACAGATTAAAAGAAGTTTTAACAGATTAATTAAACCAGCAGTTTGAAAAATCCTCTATAAAAACCGGATTGCTTGAGTCTTTTATAACACACCTTGATCAATCAATCAAGGAATCATAAGTGCTACTTTCAAGAGAGAATCGCGCAAGATTTGTGATGTTTTTCGTAGCTCTTTCTTGAGGCAAAATTTGCATTCTTTTTAAGAAGAAACTCATTCTGTAGAGCTGTATAATCTGGGTTTGAGTGTTCTAGTTTCTTCTCTTTGTTTCTTTACTTTTCTTTACTGTATTGTGGGTGCCTGGAAGTGTGGACACTGGTTTTTGTGGCTGGAATTCGGCTGCAGGGTTGTTCAAGAACTGGAAGTTGGTTCTTGGTGAAGGTTTAGGTGCAAGGACTGGAATTTTGGTTCTTGTGGTAGATTGAGTGTGTGATTGGAATTGTAATATGTAAAACATTCAATCTAGTGGAACTCAACTGGAATTTGGCTGGGAACTGGACGTAGCCCTGGGATTGGGTGAACCAGTATAAATCTTGGTTGTATCTTTCTAAACATTTCTCTCGTTAATTTTGTTGCTGTCTTTATTTTTGATTGCTTTCTTTGTTTGATTCAAGAATTGGTCAGGACTCTTAATCTTTGAAATAGATAATCTGTATATTACGAAAATCTTTCAATGATCAATTCACCCCCCCTCTTGATCTCAGCCTACTTTTCTAACAATTGGTATCAAGAGCAAGGTTCTTGAAATTTACTCAAGTCTTTCGATCCAAATGGTTGGAAATAATTTTTCTAAGGGTGCTTGTATTGATAGACCTCCACTATTTTGTGGTACAGATTACTCATTTTGGAAGATAAGAATGAAGATCTTTATTGAATCTGTTGATATAAATGTTTGGAATATTATTGAACAAGGAACTTATGTTTTTAACAGAGAATTGTCTAGTTTAAATGATTGTGAAAAGAAACTAATCCAAGATGATTGTATTGCTAAGAATATCATTACATCTGCACTTAACAAAAATGATTTTTTCAGGATATCTCATTGTCAAACTGCTGCACAGATGTGGAAAACTCTTGAAATGGCTTATGAAGATACAACAGAGATATGTTTGATGGTCAATTCAGATTCTCCCATGACCAGTGTAAGTTCTGATTCAACAACCACTATGAATTACAGTTCATTACAAGATGCTTTTTATGAAATGCATGCAGTAGCTAAGAAAATAGAAATTGAAAACAAAAGATTAAAAAGCATGAATAGTTTATTAGAAAACAAAATCACTCTTCTTGAAAAGAAATTGTTGATGAAGAAACTAAGAATAAAATCTGGAAATAGGTAATAATTCTGATTGCATGTGTAATGATAAAAATTGTGAAAATTGTCCTGAGTTACAAAAGAAATTAACATATTTAATAAAAACTGCATCTAAACTTGCACAAGGAAAAACCAGTCTTGATGTTATACTTGATTCTCAAAAGTTGGTTATTGATCGTGGTGGTATTAGTTTTACACCTCTTGTTGGAAAGAAAACTAGAGCATTTAAAAACTATTTTGCATATAGTAAATCTGTTTCGTCACCATTTATTGCATGCTTTTATTGTATGAAAAAAGGTAATTCTGTGAAATTTTGTAGAATCAAGAAATATGTTAGACCAAGAGGTAGAATGAAGTGGATTCCCAAGAATTTATTTCAAATAACCTGATTGGTCCCAATGATTATAAAAACGGTACCAGATATATGTTAAATCTGTTTTGCAGGAACAAAATTTGGAAGTTCTTTGGTACCTAATCAACAAATTTCAATTTTGGATTCATGGACTGTGTATTTTAATTGATATAAAATTGTTTTAATCGATTAATTTCACTTACAAAGAATACCAAAAAAGTTGTTCGTATAATTTTAATTGAGTAAAATACTAATTAATCGATTAATATGTTGTCAGGATTTTTAGTATGATTGTTTTAATCGATTAAAAAGAATTTATATCAGTTAAAATCATTAAAAAGACAAATTTAATCGATTATTTCGCGATTTAATCGATTATTATTCTGATATGTTCTTTCCAGAACAAGATAATCGATTCAATAACAAATTAATCAATTAATATTCTACTTTCAGTGCAGAATTAATTGATTGTTTCAATTCTATACTACAACTATACTAATTTCTCTTTCAGGCACAACAAACTGAAGATCTCTAGTACCTTGACAACGGCTGTTCTAAACATATGACATGTGATATTACAAAGTTTTACAATTTAAAACCAAAGAATGGTGGGAGTGTTGTCTATGGGGATAATAACAAAGGAAGAATTCTTGGAATAGGTGACATCAAATGCACAAAATCAGGTATTATTAACAATGTATTATATGTTGAGGGTTTAAAACATAATTTGATCAGTATTAGCCAGCTGTGTGATAAAGGACACAAAGTTATCTTTGGTCAAGATCAATGTCAAATTATCAAATCAAATTCAGAACAGGTACTGATCACTGGTAAGAGAATCAACCATATTTACATGTTAGATACTAATTCTGCTAAAAATTGTTGTTTAATTTCTAAAGAGAATGATTCCTAGTTGTGGCATAGGAGGTTAGCTCATATTCATATGAATCACCTTAATAAATTGATTTCTAAAGATCTTGTAATTGACTTACCTAAACTTAAGTTTGTGAAAGACAAAGTATGTGAGGCATGTCAAAAAGGCAAGCAAGTAAAGAATTCCTTTTCACAGAAAAATATTGTTTCAACATCAAGACCTCTTGAACTTTTGCACATGGATCTCTTTGGTCCTTCTAGAACTATGTGTTTAGGAGGGAATCTATATGCACTGGTTATAGTAGATGATTACTCAAGATTTACTTGGACAATATTTTTAAAATAAAATTTGATACTTTCCATATGTTTAAGAAATTTGCGAAACAAATTCAAAATGAAAAAAGGCTATTTCATCTCTTGTATTCAAAGTGATCATGGGGGAGAGTTTTCAAATGAAAATTTTAATAAGTTTTGTGATAAACATGGTATTAAGCATAACTTTTCTGCTCCTAGAACTCCTCAACAGAATGGTGTAGTTGAAAGGAAAAACCGTTCTCTTGAAGAATTAGCTAGGACAATGCTTAATGAGAAAGCATTACCAAAATATTTTTGGGCTGATGCTGTTAGAACTGTTTGTCATGTACTAAATCGTGTTTTAATTAGACATTTTCTTAAAAAAACTCTCTATGAATTATACAAAGGTAAAAAGCCTAACATAAACTATTTTAGAGTATTTGGATGTAAGGTTTTTGTCTTAAACAATGGAAAGGAAAATCTTGGAAAGTTTGATTCCAAATTAGATGAAGGTATCTTCTTGGGTTATTCATTGAATAGCCATGCCTATATAATCTTTAACAAAAGACTAAATACTGTAGAAGAATCTGTTCATGTTGTGTTTGATGAGACTAACCCAAGTATGCAGAATAATTCTGAGTATAGTACAGAAGATGATGTTTTAACTGATAAAATGTATCAGTTAAAATTCCCAGAATCAACAATTTTTTAAAAACAGGAAGAATCTTTTGAAGAATCTGAAGAGCAGTTGCCTAAAGAATGGAAGACTCCAAGAAATCTTTCAATAGACAACATCATTGGTGAAATAAATCAGGGAGTTTCCACTAGAAGATCTTTAAATAAATTCTGCAATCACATGGTATTTGTATCACAAATAGAACCAAAAACCATATCTGATGCATTAAAGGATAATAACTAGATTAATGCTATGCATGATGAATTAAACCAATTTACAAGATGAAAGTGATGAAGATCTTATTGAAATACTCTGACAAAGATCTTACTGATTTGATGAAGTCAAAGATAAAGTCAAAGTCAACTTTGTAGCGGTCAACAACCACTTAGATAAAAGAGTAGAGGGATTAGTGTGTCCGCAACTTTGCTTAGGTATAATCATT